GTGGAGTTGGAAGGATTCCTGAACTGAAATGAACTGAACTGATGTGACTGAAACTCACGCTGCTGAAAGGTTGTTCACTTTGCAGGAACTCAGCTCTCTTTGATAAAATCTCCCAAAAACCTTCCAGTAAATATTTTCTCACAGAAGCTTCTTTCTTACTTAGCAGCCCATGTAATGCGGCGGCGAGTGTTTTTACCGTGTTTAAAATTAACAGGTGATTATTCTAATTTCTTTCCCATAGGTGCGGTCCTTGATGAGTCCACTGGAAAAGTTCTGGTAGTCCAAGATAAAAATAAGGTAGATCCCCTGATTGATTAAACCTTTTTACAGGAGTGTCTAAAAGCAGTCAGCCAAGTTTTTATTTTTTCAATATCCTCTAAAAATGCAGTTACGCCTTTAATATTGTTGAGATGCATCAATCATTTTTTTCTGATTGGTGCATCTCAACATAATTTTCATGTTCTCTTTTCTGAACATAAAAAAGAGAAAAATTTGCTTCAGTTCATTTGAAAGAGACAAATAACCCTCGAATCCAACTGAAAATAGACTGAGTTTTTAGTTTAATGCAATTTATAAACAGAGAAAAAAAGTTATATTTTTCAGTATTTGATCTGCCGATTCTGACCTCTGAAGTATTGTTTGATGCATCTGCAACTATTAAAAATCACTAGAACACAACAACTACATGGTTGTTATTCTGTTATGCTGTTATTGTAACAGCATAACAGCAGAATTATTCTAACTAAATAATATGTTTCTGATATGAAACTGGAAGTCCAGCAGCACAGAGTAGCAAGTTTCACCAGGTCCACAATTCAGGCCTGGTAATTAGTAGGAAAAATGAGCCAGAAAATCAGATATCCTGTTGTTACTAAAAATGTAGATGATTAGTTTTGTTTATTTATTGACCTGTGTTGGTTGTGTTTATCCAGACTGGGGGTGGATGTCCTCACAGACATTGGGCTCCTTCAAAATCTCACTTTGCTCCAAGAAGCAAACAGCCTGTTTACATGAGCTGAATGTGTGCTGCAGATTGAACTCTCTCAATCCACAGCTCCCACTGCTTCTCACCCTCAGCTTCAATGGAACTCTTTCAAAATCATTCCTGTACAGCTACGAGTAAATTTTCTGTCTGATAGGTAAGGTCTCCTCCAACATGGGAAAATTATTGCAAAATCCAGTTCTTAAATTATGTAATTTCAGAGAAATTAGTCATCCTATAAAGTTTAGGAGACAGCCAGTAAGAGCCCATAAACAGTTAGATTTAGTAGAGCCCATAACATAGATCTTATTTTGATTCATGGGATCCACTAGAAGCAGAGTGCTATTTTACGAAAAACATAATCATCATTTGCCTCTCTTTGTGTATTTATGGAGCTCTGCTTGTTACCTTCTGTCTGACCTGAACTGTGAGTTTCTGCACCTGCCTGTTTAAAGGGGACCTATTGTGCAAAATTCACATTTTGTACCTTTCATACTTCCTTTTGGGTTTCTACTGCTTCTAAAAACAGAACATTAATGTTGATGATGAGTGGATGTGAAGGTCTGACTGCAGACATGTTTAACTACAGAGTTTAAGGATGAACATGGAGGTGGAAAAGTGACTCAACTCTTTTATCTCTTTTGCTCCTCATTGAGCCATGTTTTCTGGAAATGAGGTATGTAAGTCAAGTTCTTGGCAGTAGAAAGTTCCCAGGAGGGGATTGTGGACTTACTGGAAAGAAACTGAGACGTCATGACCGTTCCGTCAGCGCAAACAATGACAGATCAATTGGTCAATTATGTAAAGGTTATTGCTGTGTAATTTATTAACAATTTCCTGGTGGATTTGGTGTTGGATGCGTGACAGCGATCAAGCTCAGACACAAACATCTAGTCAAGCAGTACAGAATCTCTTTACTTCTGATAACACAATGCCTGTTAACATAAAAACAAAAGCTGCGGTGCTTTAGTGCTCCTCACAAAAAACAAAGAGATAACTACAAAAATACACTCAGACATCATAATTTAACCAGCAGCATACTGTTATTAAATATCAGAGTGTGGTGAAGCAGCTTCATCAGAGTTGCTTCAGTGCAGTTGAAGAATCTTTCCCCTTCTTGCGTGTTAATCAGCACTGATTTGAACTACAAAATACATGTGGAGTATTTATGGAGAGAAGCAGGTGAATCTATGTTTATGATGGTTTCTGACTGCGATTCATTTCCAGCAGCGGCATTTTGTCACGACTCCTGTAAAATGTCAGATTTCTACTTTGATTCCAGACCAAGAATGCCTGGAAGTTTCCTGGTGGCTTATCCGATCCAGGAGAGAATATCGGTGAGTGTCTCACTCAACAGAAAAAAAAAATAAAATAAAAATACTACAGTACATCTAACTAAATTCATTAAAGTATAACATATACATTCATTTATCTGTACAAAATAAGACACATGATATATCTTGTTTCTCCCACTGGAACATTTTAAAAGCAGCGTTAAAAGTATTTACATGATTCCACACAAAAAGCAGCGTCAATCAAAAAAATAATACAATCTAAATATACGTCTCTCTTATTTTTCTCCCCAGCAATATAAACACATTTATAAATGTCAGGATTCTTTAAATGTCCCCATTACTGTTCTGTGCAGAAGTCTTAACTCAACCCTCATTTCTATATATGTTGCTTCCAAGCAAATCAAGTTACCGGAAATTACTGAAAGAGGTCCAGGTTAATTTGTATGAGTTTCTTTGGATCCTGGTTACTTTTTCACTCATGGGTAAACAGAAGTCAATAGATATGTTCAGTGGCCTGGAACTGCCTTAAATAGCAGACCGACACAACGTACTACACCTGAAACATCAAATAAAACTAATAATATAAAGATCCCAATAAATAGATAAACAGAAGAAAAGGAAGAAAATAAATATATGATTGAGCTCTACATGGTGGGAAACCCAAATGTGATGATGTTTTACACGTGAATCTCCTAAATGAACTCAAACCGAGACCAAAATAAAGAAGAGCCGTTCTCTGTTAGTTGTTCATTACCATTGAACCCATTGAAGTTTATGGAGTCCTCAATCATAAATACCAGGTCTGATCTAGAATAAATTGATATTTTGGAGATTTTAAGGAGGAGTTATTAATTTACCTTTGCCTCAGTGATGGTCCTTGGTCTTGTGACATAGGAAATGCATTTCATCAACCATTAACCCGGAAAGCTCCTAATAGCCATCCTATCTTTAGTTCCTGGCCAATTCAGTCTGAAAAACATGATTCATAACTTAACTGTTCATGATTCATAACTTAACTGTTCAGTTAGATTCAGCTGCAGTTTCTGAGCTACAAGTTGTATGTCAACTTTAGATTGTAAGGCTCACCTATCCTACTTTCTGACATAGGTTAGTGAAACTGTAAGTGGAGAAATGTGTCAGAAACTTTGAGGAAAATGACATAAAAGTTTGTTCATTTCAACAGTTTTTGATCTTCTTATTTTGGAGTCTTTGGCAGAGTCCTTTTTCAAATGTTGAAGCTTACAAGATACATTTCTGATTTAGGGGCTGAGTGATAAATTGTTTTTTTATCAATTAATCAAAATTTATTTTACTGAATATTTAACTTTTGTAAAATCTGCATGTTTTTATTAATGCATTCTTTGAGTTTCCAAAGACCTGAGTGATATTAGCGCACCCAAGAACTACCACATTGTTTGACAAGTCAGTTTTACAGCTGAAAATTACTTCAACTTTGAGTTCAAAGATTCTGGCCACAAAACAAGATTGCTTTCAATAAAATTATTGAAATGATTTAAATAAAATCCATTTATAGGATATTTTCTGTAATTAAATTTTTTTTAAGGAAAATTAAAGGGGTGGGGAAATCACTTAAAATTGGAAATCAAATTTGGCATAAAGAATCCAATTTCAGAGATTTTATTATCAAGCTGTACTGCCCACTTTGAAATATCCAAATGTTATTTTTCAATAAATTTTTTAAAGGGTAAAAGCCTCAGTTATGAAGATTATTCCCGCTGGTAACTCACAATATGATGGTGAGGTAGGAATATTGGACTGAAAAACGAGTGAAAAAGCAACCAAACTCCAAGACAAAGAAATTTGAAATCCCTAGAGTAATCAAAACAACTTTTAAAGATTACAGTAAAGTCTGAGTGGCAGAAAGCAAAGCGTAAAGAAATGAGGTGGTTTGAAGCTTTTGCACAGTGATATAAACGTAGCAAATCTTCCTCAGGTTCCACCGCTGTTCGTGAAGTGTTTGAAGAGACAGGGGTGCGCTCCAAGTTCAGGTCCCTGCTCAGCATCCGGCAGCAGCACCGGCACCCGGGTGCCTTCGACATGTCGGACATGTACCTCATCTGCCGCCTCAGCCCGCTCACCTACGACATCAACTTCTGCCCGCACGAGTGTCTGCGCTGCGAGTGGCTGAGTGTGAGTGAGCTGGCCGAGACCAGCAGCACCACGCCCATCACGGCCCGTGTCGCCCGCCTGCTGCTGCATGGCCTGGAGCACGGCTTCGACAAGATTGACCTCACCATGGAAGAGCTGCCGGCCGTCTACTCTGGGATGTTCTACCAGCTGTACCACAGACAGCTTCCTGCTAAATCTTAGAGCTCAGCTGGTGTTTTAATGCCCACTGTTAACCGGGACTCTTTAGGTACTGCAATTTCTGTAGTTTTCACTTACTCAAGATTAGGGCTGCAGCTAACGATTATTTTAGTAATTGATTATTCTATCAACTAATTGAAAAAATGATTTCATTTAACCATTTAAGCCTTTTATCAAGACTCTATTAAAATTATTAATTCAATTCCTTTTTAAAATAAGAAAATAAAAATGTTGTTCCCTAAAAGCAATAACAGGGCATTCCTTAGTGAATTCACAAAGGAATGCCCTGTTAAAACATTGTTACTTGAGAGGTTTTGGGGAAAAAATATTTTCAGACAAAGATGTTTTTCATCTTAAATGCCAAATTTATTTAAATATTTTACAGTTTTGGCTTAATTACTACTCTTGAGTTTTTGTGTTTTTTTTTTTTCAGCAAATGGGCTTCTTTTGAGTCTGTATACAATTAATCGATTACTGAATTAGTTGACAATTATTTCAAAAATCGATTAATCGGATTAATCGTTTCAGCCCGACTCAGGATTCGGTTTTGTTCTTGCTGCTGAAACACCTTGTGGTGGTTGATACAAAATGCATTATTTATTATTTCAAATTTAAATCAGTTAAACTGACTGATTTTGCACAAATTCTGTTACATAGATAAGAGACAGCTTTAAAAGCTATTTTTTATCTATTAACAGTCTGGAAGTGTTCCTGCAATTTTAAATATGGGTTTTACTTTAACCTCCTTGTTTTTTGGCTCTAGCTGCTGAATGGCTGCTCTCTGTGGACTAAACCTGGAGTAATGCATTTAAATAGGTGTTAGCATTTGGATTTAAAGCTGGATTAATCACACACGTTCCAGAGGAAATAGTTAGATCGTCACAGCTGTTTTAGGCAAAGCCAATCCAACACTGTGGTCATTGGCTTCACATCGTCCAAAAGACGTTCTTTCTCTCTGTCTGACACCCAAGTTAGCACTTTGCTGACATTGGTAGAAAGAGAATGGCCTTCTGACCCGGTCCGGTTTTGCTCCCGGACTTGTACTGGCCAGTCCTCTTCAGTGCCACATACATGTTTGGGTACTTCCTGGAGCGGTAGGTGTTGTAGTTGTTGCTCTCAAGTCTCTCAAGGAAGTAGCACTCGTCTGTTGGTCGTCTCTGAAGAAAAAGGGACAGAGCGTCGTCATGTTACTTAAGTTTAATCTCAACAAAACCATTTTGTTTCTGTTGAGTTTTTTTTTTTTTTTTTTTGTGCATGGTTCTTCGTAGTAAAATAATATTAAAACTAAACCAAGTTTCTGTGTTTTTTTCTTTATTGATTGAATTATAGATTAATTGGGGGAGGGTGGTTTCCAGGAAAATGAAAGTTTTGTTTTAATTGTTAATTGCTTGTCTGTTCATCTGAATGGAAATGTAATTACAGGTGACAAAAACAAAATTAAATGAAGCCACACTTAAGTAAAATTGTTCTGTAATAATTTACCTTTTGTCATTTTTAAAAAAAAAGATCAAAGAGTTTCTATTGTAACCTCACTTTATCATTTCATTGTGGTTTGTGCTGTTAACAGCTACTATTGCTAAAACAACGGCTCCCATAAGTTCTCTCCATAAAATGTCGACCACTATCGAATCCAAAAGGATTTCCAAAAGATAGCAAACACTCCCAACTCAAAGTCTTGGTCTTTCTCACAGCTTGAATAAATGAATAAACATGCCTCAACATAAATGCGGTTAATAAACCAGTTATATTTAGAATTGATTGAGGACACTTTTCACTGTTTGGATAGGATCAGATTTTTATAGAAGAGAGAATTTTTTCCTCTAATTCAAAATTTGCGTCATTATAATCTTCAGTAGAGATCATAATGAGTTGAAATTACAGAGAAGTTTTAAAATTTAGACACAAACAATAGTCAAGCTTGACATCACCTTGAGAGGAAACCTCTCATTATGAAGAGGAAATGCCCATTCTAATTATCCAGCACAAGGTTTTATAACCATCAAGCCTTGTAAATCACCACCACTTTGCACTTTAGTGCCACTGGAAGCAGCAGAGCAGCAGTATTTGCCTATTTACACCAATGTTTGGGAGATTATCAGATATATCAGCTTAGTGTGAAACAGCACTTCAGAACCCAGTGAGCAATTTGCTTACATTGGTGGAATTCATTAACTGCAGCCCAGGAAAATGTATAAAAGAGATGTCAGGTTTCTGAAAAGTATGTTTATTATAATTATTATAATTATAATAGATTCTGAAATAACTAGCTGTATGCTGAAACTAGATAATTCTTTTTTACCTCACATGTGGCTTCTGTCCGTTCTGATGAGACGTTACCTAGTACCACAATTTTCTAACTTTTTGAAAACTAACAGTAATCTATGCTAAATGTGTTGTTGTGTCACATAAAATCCTAGAAAAATTGTATTAATGTAACAAAATGGAAAAAAGCTGAAGGGTAATCAGCTCTTCATTTATACCTGCCTTTTCTGCAGGTTTAACAATCTGCATTTTTAAAGCTAATTAACATGTATTCATGTGCTTGTCACATATTTAAATGCTTACTTTTGAAGTAAGTATTTAAAAGTAAGCATTTAAATGCTTACTCAGTCTACTTTCCTTGAAAAGGAAAACTAAATTGAATAACATTTTTATCCCATTTTATATGACATGTGATTACATTTTATAATCACATGTTTGAACAAGACTAAGTAATTCAGACAAACTGATCTTTATAGAAAAACATTTTCCAATTATTTAATTACATTACCAGGATAACTAAGTAATTTTATATGAAACAAACATGACATCTGTAAAGAGATAGCCACTCACCACTCCAAACAGCCGTCCATCTCTGTTCATCGCCAGATAACGGTTTGCACAAACTCCTTTGATGATCACTTCTCCCACTGAGGTCGCCTGCAGCTGAAGCTTTACTGCAGACCAAAGTAAAAGTTTATTTAAAATGAGTAAACAGAAAGGATTTGTACTTTCACAGTGGAATGTTTAAACACAGGGAGAGAATAAGCTATCTGTTTCCTGAATGAAGAAAAATATAAAAGCGCATCTTCAGATTCAAACTGAATGCTCTCCATTTCCTTCAAGATTATCCATGTTGGCCACAAGAGACACAAATAATGTGGAAGATATATCAGAGGCATCCCAGCAGTAAACATGATCATAAAGTCAAAAACAACTATCCAATTACAAGACCCAGAAGATGAAGATTTTCTTTGCTGTGATTTTGTGATGCAACCAAATGCAATCTATTGTTGCTTCTAAAAACACAAATTTGGTTTGTTTCTGCAGTTGTGATTGAAACACATTTGTAACTGAATGTCAGTGTATATGTTTAAAGTTAATTAGACTATCATAAAATGTTAGAATACTAATCTATGACTTGCTCATTCCCTGGGATATAAGTATGATGAAGAGAGATGTCTCACTGCTGCTCTTTAAAACAAAAAAAATCACAAGAACAATTTAAGAAAATTGTTCTTATAAATGTGTGAAAACTCTGGAAAGACAACAGGAAAACCTTGTGTCTTTCTCTCAGAGTGCATGGCATCAGGAACTCTTTGAATGATCAGGGCATCTAGGATAAAACCCCCGTGGACTCTGCCAGAAACCATAAAATCTGTAGTTAAATGGTACACCAGCCACAAAGTTAACCTTCTTCAGCCATTATTCCGAATAGAAAATGTATAGGATGAACTGAAAACGGCTTACGGGAGAACCCAGGATGACCTGGAGAACAGATTTGCTACCTGTGGCTCTGGATTTATTTGGCCACATTAACTGAGGCCAAAACCAACCACAGTTGACTGTTAACGGTTCAAAATTCTGAGATTTTTCTGTAACTTTGAACTATTAAACTTATTTGTGGGAAATTTGACTTTGTAAATTTTTTTTTATATTTTTTTTCTAAAATATTCAAAATAATATGCAACTTGGCTTGTGTTTAGAAAGCAGCCAAGACGTAAATGTCTTTTGTTTTCCTTAGTGCTGAATGACTGTTTTCCTAAAAGTGAAGATAAGTAAGACTGTAGAGGTCAAGTTAGATCTAAGAAAGCTTCCACTGTTTGTATTAATGCATATTAAGGTACATCTGGTGTTTGAACTATTACTGAAATTCACAGCTATAGGCATTTTTAGAGAAGTCCAAAATATTTATGGATTATTTTAGGGGTTCACAGTTATGTTTGCAAATGTACATATAATAAGTTTCTTTCTGAATAATTTGACAACAGAATGACAAAAAATTATCAGTATTTTTTTATCCTAGAAATCCTTTCTATTTTTCTTGATCCCATAAGAAAAAAGAATCTGTCATCTTTTTTTTATGTTTTCCTTTATTTTAAAACTTAAAAAGAGAAATGTTTGTTCTTTAAAAATTACAAAAAAAAAATCCTTTCCTGAGAATTTTTTGTCATTTTTCATGAGGGCAAAAATTGCTATTTGGTTCGCAAAGGCTGCAGACACCTGATCTAGAGAATGTGTGGAGGGCTCACTGTATGACCATTGCCACCAGAGATAATGTTACACAGTAACATGTCCAAGATTTGTTCTTGGCGAACGCTGCTAATCCATCTGATTTGCTTTGGAGCTCCTCCTCTTTAAATGGCCATATGGTTAAAAAAGCAGACATTGGAGTCGGAATATGAGCCTTGCCCGATATGATTGATGGAAGAGAGGATTTGAACTTTCCTTTTCTCTTCTCTTTCATTCTGCTCTGCATTCATGCAGGATCCTTTTGAACTAGTATGGAATTTCAGTCATTTTTGTTTAACCTTTGAGAGGCTTATCAGCTGCTCCCATCATTAACATCTGTCTCAAACTAAAGACATTTTTAAAAAATCCTTTCTGTTGCACAACATCCCAAACCAGAGGCTGTCTGAAAATGCAATGCCTCAACTTAAAAAGCAGAGAACAAAAGTCTGCTTTTGTTCTTTGTTGAGATTAAACACATCTCAACATCCTGCAATCTGAATGGTCCAACATTTTAGGCAAGAAGTCCAAGTTCTTTCCTGTTTTTCAAAAACTTCCAAATATTATCAGCATGGGTGCCTATAATTGCAATAATGGAGATTTTGTTTAAAAACTGTTACATTAAAGCCAAACAGGGTTCCTCTGTGTTCTGCCTACTACTGTGTGACATTTCATATGTAAATTAGAGTGGTGGTGATGAGTGCCAAAGCGCAACTGGTGACCATGTGGCAGCTTCGCCCAAACCAGATGAAAACCATCTCCACTTCCGTTTGTTTGTTAGCATAGAGACTGCTCATCTAAGCAGCAGGAGCCCATGTGTGGCAAGTCACCAAAAAGGAAGCAGGAGCCTCAGAAGATAAATTATAGGATCTGTCTTAAAATTAAGCCTTTCAATGCATTTGTCTGAAGTTAGTTTGATGGTAGGATGTTTCAAGTCACAGATCAAAGAGGCGTGTTAGCCTAAATAAGGTTTGCTGCTGTAGGTTTGATTTTTACAACATATGTCCGGCCCTGAAGGAGGACAGATACCAGCATCAAAACTGTGTAACATTTGGGATTAAAATACAGAAACTAGTCTGTGGTGACGTCCCGGTCCGAGGGTTTTGGGATGAGGAGAGCAGTATTTTGTGGATCACATGTTCTCTTATGTTTCCAGCTTCGTCTGGCAGGTCTGTCCGGGTTTAACAAAAGGAGCATTGATGCAAGGAACTAAAATCACAGTAGACCATTTGAGTAAAAAGTTCAATACTCAATGTAATGAGGATTCATTCCTTTATAAAACAGTAATATTCTCCAAGAAAGGGAGAACAGCAAGAACTGAAGTACTTAAGAACATCTTAGAAACAATTACCAAGTGTCCAAACAATGTACTTGTTTGGTTTCTCATGGCTGACAGGTTGCCCTTTATCTTCAACTACTCTGCCAGGCATGTGTTTTCCCAGGAGGGGAAAAAAGTCCAGTTCCATGCTCTGCCTAGTCCCTCCTACTCACTAATGAAAGTTCAGGGCATACTTTCAAGTAATCAGTGACCTGGAGGCCTTCATGAGCATCATGGTTGTTCATTCAAAACAAGCACACATATGTTTTTACTTAAAGGTACATAAAAGCTGACTTGACTCACTATAATTAATCTGTTAAAATTTCTGATCGTCCTGATGGCTCTGAGAGAGAGGAATTTAATTTGCTGTCTTGTGTGACGTAAATCCTTCAGTGAGTGACTCAGCAGGGTGAAAACACAAACTAAAAACATCATCCATTCAAATTCTTTGTCATTTAAAATAGTTTACTAATCGAGAGGTTTCATGCCTCTCCTAGGTTCTACTGCATTAAATATAGAATTAACCTCAATAAGCTGGAAGACTCTCTTTCTCCTTTCATTTTCTGTTGCATATTAAAAACCTTAAAGAAGCTTTGTGACGTGCCCAAAGCAAGAAGAATGAGACTGGAAATACTTACTGTGAGGGTCGTTTTTCTCCCGGATTCCATCCACACCTCCGTCGGTTTTAATCCTCAGAAAAAAGCCTCCATTTTTACAGTACAGTCTCTTGGGGTCCTTGAAGCTCCCAGGAGGAAAGCCATCAGTGGCGCCGTCCTCAGGTACAGCGGGAAGTGTTGTGATTTCTCCTGTGGCCATCTCCTCCTTTCAAGCTGCTTCCTGACAACTGCTTCGTCTCCTTCTTGAGAAGTGCAGGAGCCCCGCCGTGGCCTCCCACCTCCCACCTCCCACAAACTTCTCCCTCCTCCCTTTCTCCGCAACCCTTCACACAGACTGATTCCACTTAACCTCAGAGGTCAGTATTCCTGAGAAGCCCCTTCTCAGGGTGGAAAGTGCCCTTTAAGGCCTGAGAATCTTGAGGGATCAATCTGATTGGAATCATTCAAATCTCATAGTTGTAGTTGTTTGATCTGCAGCCTGTAGAGCTGGCTGCCTCTGTGGCGTACATGCAGAAGGGTTTACATGCAGATCCCTTCAGTTCAACTCTCTTCTTGCAGTTGAAGCTGTACAGCTGGCTTAGATCTCTGATGAAGGCTTTCCCTTTTGGGCCTCAGTTCGCATGCGCCCTAGGAGCAACCAGACACACACACGCATGTACGCACACACATGCAATGCTCACGCCCACTGATCCTCGCCAATTTAACCAGCCAACCCAGTAGAGGTTGGGAAAGGGGGACGGGCAGCTTGGAATCTATCACTGAGGTCTCAGAGAACTGAAACCAGAACCAGCAGCAGCAGTATGTGAACAGAACCACTGTTTTCATTCATTCAGTCACTCACTCACTCCAAGAGCAGGAAAAGAAGGCTTAAGAAGCCATCCCAGTGACTCAGAAGGAAATTCACTCATAATAAACTATTTCTAACAGAAAGTTCAGGAACTTGCTGAGAAAAGAAAGCCTCACTGAATAAGTGTAACTTATTAAAAGCTGACCAAACAGAGAAATACAACATATGTAGACAAAGGTTTCTCAGTTATTTTGACAATTTTTGAAAGTTTACTATAAATTTATGATTTATTTCATTTGGATTGATGGCGGGATGGTAATTGGAGGGACAAATGGATGGAGAATCGAACTTTCAGAAAACAAGAAAGTTTCAAAATACAAATATTTTTATATCTACATGCTTCTGATGGCTTATATTTTAACAAGTAATAAGACTAGTTATCTTTAATGTAAAGAGGAGACATAGTTCTACATTACAATGTCACCAGGTGACTATGAAACCATTCAAGGACAGAGCAGATGCTTATAGAGTAAATCAGTGTGTGGATGTGTGTATTACAGCTAGAAAGTAGAAGGCCTGAAATCTGGAGTAGTGATGGACTCAGACCTAAACCTTCAGAAATGCATAAAGACAATTACAACGCCGGTCTTTGATTACTAGAAGAACAGTTTTAGGATTCCTCATCCATGTGCTTTATCTTCAGTCGAATTCAGTACTGCAATATTTCCTTTACAGGTCTGCGTAAAGAATCTATGAGACAGCTGCAGCTGAGACAGAATGCTGCTGCTCATCTTCTCACTAGGACCAGGAAGACAGGGCACATCACCCCAGTTCCAAAGTCTTTAGACTGGCTCCTTGTAGCTCAGAGGACAGACTTTAAAATACTTCTGATAGTTTATAAAGCACTGAATGGTTTCTGCTGTTGTTATATCAATCTTCCAGATCACTCAGGTAATCTGGTTCAAGGGTACTCTGCAAAAAAGTAAGATTGAATATTTTAAGATATCAGACGAGATCTATAGCTTTGTGCAAATTCTGGCATTTTAAATATAACTAGTTACTACCCATTTCTGATTATCTGCTGTGTTTCAATCAGTGAGGTTGATCTGAACATTACAATGAATTTCTGGCCATATAAGACCCACTTGGAGTTTGAGTTTCACCTAAAAAATCTGCCCCCTTTACAGACTGGCAGATGTATCTGATTCTTGGAGCAATCTTCTAACATAAATACCTCAATAATTGGTAACGTTATTAAGGTTTTATATTATTCTCTAATCCAGATATTCAGATGAAGTATAGACGAGTTGCTCTGAACTGTCAGTCAGATCTGTGCCATTCCAGTTCCCCTGCCATTGCCTTGTGGTTGTCATGTCTCACTCGTCTGCCTCGTCACTGTCACCACACAGCAATGCCCTGGTGGAGCTGGGGAAGCTTTTTATTTCACTGAGCTAATTTTAGCACATGAGGCTCTCTCACAGAAAATGGAAGTTCACACGTCATTGCCGCCGTAAACATCTAACGTACAAAAAGGGGAATTCTGCATACAACAGCAATACTATAACATTACATCACTGATTAGACAATTCAAGCATGTTCCTTAAAGTTCCTCTTTCTATTAAGCAGCTTTCAAGCGTGTAATTGTGTTTACTTGCATACATTTATTAAATATTCAAAATACTTTTACATCAGCTAATATTCTCTTGAAAGTCTTGCTTTGATGTAATTAGTTCTTTATTAGATCATTTCACTAATTCTAGAGAGTCTAGCTCAGGGGTCTGCAAACTATAGCTATGAAGCCACAAATGGGTCTTTGGAAATTTCACAATGGCTCTGAATGACTTTGGCTGAAAAAATGAAAAATAACTAACTAATGTTTTTAAATTTACATAGGGAAAACAAGTTTTTTGTTTTTTTTAATTCAGTTTATTTCCACAGTATTTGCATTGCATTTCCACAAAGAATGACACTAAAAACTCTCGCAATGTTTTTAGATCTGGATTCTTGTTATTAGGTTAGAATCTATGTGCTATTTTGTTTTTTTTTTTACATTTTTCATCCCACTGAAAACAATCCATCCTCTTTTTTGCTTATGTTTATTTTAAATCCTAACAATTAGAAATAAAATTGTGTTTCATTAAAAATAACTGCAAATTTTCTACAGTAAATATTTGTCTAAACTTATAAGTTATCTATTTTTAAAAAGTCATGTGATATTTGTGGCTCTGAACAAGTTTTATTTGGCTGCCCTGAGAGTTAAGAATGGATACATACATTTAATAGATCGCGGACCCCTTGACTGATTTAGATATTTAGAAGCAAAGATTTAACAAAAAATTCCTCCTGTTGATTTTTAAAGAATAATTAATAATTAGTCAATTTCAAAAGTTTACTGTGACTATGTTGCAACTTTGAATGAAAAACCCAGGTCACTGAAACGTTTTCAAAAGGTTTATTTTTGAAGATTATGTCTCTCCCTAGTGGTAGAGAATAGACAGAACACTCTCTACATTATTTGTTCTTGATGACAAGAAAACTCATATAACATGACTTTAACAAAAAATAACTTAATGGTAAATTGCAAAAGTTGGAAAATCAATACATAAATAAATTATTTTGGAACAATCAAAGCAGCATCAGATTCCCCTCATGTTTTTGGCCAGTGCCTGTGATGATTTCTGCATCAGTCTGTAGAACTAGAAAAACAAGGTCTAAAGCTTTCCTCCAAGCTTCCTGCTTCACACTCAAGTTATCATAGATGTTCAAAGCCGGTGTTTCATCTGGTTTCACTGCTGAGAAACCTGCATCCTCTCTTTTGCTCTGCGAAACAAGTTGCATAAACTTTTCTGTGCTTATTTCATCTCTGTGAAATTCCATCAGTTGCTTGCAGACAGTAGTCCTAGCTTTGGCTGTTGAGAACCTTCCGGTGTTAACCATTACAGCCGATATGTAATCTATTAAACCATCTGCCATGAGTTGTAGCACGAGACCTCTGTATGGGTTAGCTGCTGACCCAGTTTTGCTGTCTTTCACCCTGTTGTGTTCTGCTTGCTTTTGTAACTGATGAACACAAAACACCTCAGTTCCTCCTGCACCAGGCAGCAGGGCTCCATCATTCAGTGCATGGTGTAAACGATACGCACAGGCCCAGAACTGGTCCTCCAGGGATTGCAGCTTGCCCTGTACACAACTTGTTATAACCACTGTGACCAACCCACTATTCCTACCAGTGGAAATGTTCACAGCTGATGAAGATTTCCTCTCATAGCTGCTGAGGTCCCTCCAGATCTCAACATTAACACCATGACCGACACAAGATTCCGTTAACTGCGTGGCATAGTTTACTGGAATAGCTCCAGTTGATCTGCCAATAGTCTTCAAAACAGAAGACTTGACCTTTTCCACTACGAGAATCTGATGCTTACAACAGTGCTGAATGACCTTCTGGCTGACAAGGCCAGCAGTCAGTATCAGTTTCACTTCTAGGTTTAAGAGTAGTTTCACAACCTTAGCCACCCATTCATCCTCTTTGCTCAAAGCTGACAAATCCAAGTCCTCACGCACACATTGTTCACCTGGTAGGCTTTTGAAGCCCAGATGGCGGTAGGTCTGAGACAGATCTCCAGTAACAAGTGCAACTTTCAGGGGTTGTTGTTTTACCACATGAGCAACTGCAGCCTGCTCGTCAGATAAAAGAAGAATGCAGCCTTCAACAACACATGCGCAGTCCTCTGGTATACCAGAAACAAGACAGGTTAACACTTTTGAAATGTCAAACAAGGGATCACTGATACATTTTTGGTTTGTCTTTAACAGCATCTGAGTAGCTTCACCTGCCAATTTCATAGCATTTTCACAACCATGGCTCAAAGACTCAGCAATGACTATCATGTCTGGCTGATTGGGATGCCAAACTGTGGAGAGAATTTCAGACTTGGTCTCACAAAAATGTCTGCTGAGCTTAACCTTTCTTTGTCCATTCTTGCTTAGACACTTGTCATCAAAGTTTGCCATCTCTTTGGATGCGTTGGCAGAAGCTTTCTTTATACCTCCCGGTGCAGCAGTGCATTTCTCCATTAAAGTGAGGTCCTTGAATGAAACTGAAAATTTCTTGCAAACATCCAAGCAAATATCAATCCCCTCAGACATAGCTGTGATTATGTGCTTAACTGAAATACCTCTCTGGAGGCTGTCCAATGCAGCACGGCTCCAAGCCCCTGCAAGAAACAGCAAACATCCAGACCCTGTGCGGTACCGCTGATGATGGGCTCGAATAGTCTCATAAACCAACTGACCCACTGTGCATGTAGGTTCCAGGTTCTCAATGATACGAAAGCATGAGCACACCAGAACCGAGTCCCCACTCGATTCATCTTGGATGAATTTGTAGCTTTTAAACGGACCGATGGAGGACCGTATCCTTCCTGAAAGTGCTGAGAGTTTCTGGAGTCCAACATGTTGCCGACTGCTTATCACTTCGCCTTCCAGCATTATCCAGACTGAAAAATAAAAGAATCAGAAACACTCAGCATCAGCAAATATTATATGTTTAGTTAGTAAATCTGCTTAACATTATTTGTGGAAAAAAGGTTAAACAGTTTTTAATTTTAGCATTGTGCTCTAGAGGATGTTATAACTTTCAAAAGATTATAGGTTTTCTTACATTAATGTTGGGTTTAAGATATGTGCTTTACATTTTATTTGGCAGGAATGTACTTTTCAAAATAAAGTTTAACTCAGGACAAACAGATCAGCATAAGGAAGGACTAATTACTAATACTAAATATGTCAAGTTGATGCAACTCACTTCAGTCACCTCTACATGACTGTGGCTTGTGGCCATGGAGGCAATGTCTCCAGGTGGTACTTGGTTATACCAAATAAGCAGGTATACCAAAATAATATAAGCCAACTAATGTCTGCTTCACAAATGGAGTTAAGTACAACACCTAAGCTTAAATAATAATACTGCAGCCCATGGCCAATAATCACTTTTCTTT